TTGGATGGCGAGGTCATGGCAGGAGTCAAGAGGAGCTGACCACAAGGTGAACTATTTACCGAAGTTTGCCCCATTAGGGTACTTACGTTTGCCAGGGACTGCTTGGAACCAACGATAGCGGGGCCTTCTCCCATGAAAACGTTTGAAAGGAGGGGGTCTTCGGGACCACTCGGCTTTGGACGCGCTGTAAGTCCTTTATCAAAACATTAATTTTGCACCACCTCATCACTGCTGCAACGAATGGCAGGTGAAGCTGCGACCCGTGATTGATCTTGAAGCAAAACACGACCGCTGGCAGCCCAATCTGGTACGCGTTATACCAATCAGAATTGGTCCTTGGGCGAGTGACCATGAACCTGACGGTCGCGCCATGACCCTAAGTGGCACGCATAATGGCGTGAGTGACATCGTGGTTCCTGACTGGCCGCTACCATACACGTATTGCTATGCCTTCCCCTGCGTTGAGACTGTTCAGCATACCCCAATGGTGAGCTTCGCACACCAGATACTTCCCAGTTGCCTTTCCCCATAGGCGAACTCGTTATCCGTGCATTGGAATATCAGCGAAACGGACAGACTGGCGCTTCTGGAGTACTTCAGTATGGATAGCGCAATGTCCGCTGCCGACGAACAGCTTCTGGAACGCCTCAAGCAACACAAATCCTCCAGTGGCCTCACCACCTTCGCAGAATTCAGCCCGTTCACCTCAGAGACGTTGCAGCAACCTCCTGCAGAGGTTGACTGGCTTGGCGAACGGGGTTGGTTGGATGACACCCCTGTATTTTGGGACGCTTATATACATCTTCTGAAGCTTATAACAGTCCACAAGTGTCATTTTCAACGTCGGTGGCGCAGAGCAGTACTCCGTGTGCATCAACCCCGGTCACCGGAACTAAGATAATACATAATTTCCTGGAATATCGCACTCAATTTAAGTATACAGTGAATGAAGTAAACGACTCACTGGTCACGCACTGTTTGATGGTTTATGTATGTGGTTTTGAGTTGGTTGTGAGGCCGGGGTCGGCGGGATTGCTGCAGCGCGTACTTATCCAGGGCATGTCAACAACGCGAAAAGATCCAGGAATGATTTGAGTCTTGACATCGTGTGATACTAACCAAAATATGCAATCGGTAGAGTACTAGAGTGTGAACACTGACTTGGCCGAATGTAACGTCATTCGGCTCTCGTGCACGCAGTACACCCTATATGTCAATTATACGGGCCAGTTGTTTATATTTTTGCACTGGGATGTAGATCTGTGGGCTTCATATAATTGACTCATGGAGTGCTTTTGCATTCAATTATCAGCGCAAGCTGTGTGGCGCCCATTCTTCTGAACCTTCATGTTTGATCGGAACGTGACGGGTATTGATGCCGCCGGACGGAAACATGAGTAAATAAATGTACAATTTGAAGTACATAGCAAGCCTGGAGGCTCGAGCAATTGGTGGCGGCTCAAAGGCATGGATAAGAGAAGGTACAAGGGAGGGAGGGCTGTTAGATGGCTGGTGAACGTTTGAACCTCTACCCGACCTCTAACCGACAAGCTCTTGGACCGCCGATCGGGAATCTAGGAGGGTCTATTTATGCATTAGGAAGCCATCACCTCTGAAAAGTGGACCTCTTTGTCCTGTGCACAGAAACCCACCCTAATGGCCCATCAAGAAGCACGAACCTTCGTGTTGGATGACCTCGTCAAGACTTATCGGAGACGGTCCGCCGACAATAATAGGCCATAGACACCCGAACCTTGTGACTCGGACTCAGATGACGATGTTTCAACGACCGACGATATGTGGGGTGGTCGTTTGATATCCTGGCTGGACGAAGTCGCTCCATGACCATGGATCCAGACGAGGCCGTCCGGTTAGATGGTGAGATGCTGCGACTCACCGATGCGCCCGGCGCTCGTAGATATTTGTTACTAGTAAGTAACGCCAGGGCATCATGCATCATGCATGGCAAGTTGGACATCTTACATGATTGTGGCGTGGTACCAATCCAATTCCCGCGATCCGAGTCCAACGAACGCCGGCGATCACTAGACTTGTTCGAAGAAACTTGTTCATTCCAAAACATCCCCAACTGCACGTAGTGGAAGACACTCTGGATAGTATGGTCTCACGAGATGAGTTTACACAACTATTCATCGACGTTTGCCCTTACTAAGCTGTTACAGCACCAGAACTTGCTCGCAGTCTATATCTAATTATTGCACTTTATAAGTAGCTAATTACCAGCACTACTCCTCCCCCACCACTCCAGTGTCCATTCAACGACCCTCCTCGCCATCCCCAATCCCTCCTCTCTCCTCGTATCTATCCCGACCCCCAGGGCCCCCTCAGCCCTCTTGTGCGCCTTGGCCTTGCGCCCTAGCGTCCACGCCTCCTCCACCGCGTGGGCCCACTCACCGGCCTCGTACGATTGGCGGGAGAGCTCGACGCCGACGCCGTCCCTGTCTAGAAGGAGCCGGAGACCGTGTTCTTCGATGAAAAGGGGCCGGGATACTGTAGGAGTGGGAGTGTGAATTGGGATATAGAGGGTGTAATGGTATTGGGAGTGACGTACCGTAGACGAACGGTGTACACGCGTCGACGCATTCGGAGACAGTTCCATATCCCTGTGGAAGGACAATGCTCGATCAGCAGTGCCCTCATCATCATGCAGGGCGTTCAAGTAGTTATCGTACAAAAAAAAGAAAGATAGATTATGACGATTTGCCAATGACGAAAGCGACAAGAGAATCGACAAGAAAGAGGGACGGCCAGAGAGAGAACCTGCTCACCAGCTTGCCCAAAAGCACATCCCCAACAGCTGTCAAATCCGGCATATACACGTCCTTGGGCGCGACGTAGAACCCGTCCGGGAGGCCCTCTCCCTCTCCTCCCTCTTCCCCTACCGCAGACTTGGACGCGCCACACACGATGGCGATCCACGACTCGTCCGGGAGGAGGCGCGATTCCTGTTCGATGTCGTGGATACCATTTGGAGCGCTGATGTGGTAGCTCGTGAGGCAGTCGTTGAGGTGTGCGGATAAATTGGCAGTGGAAGAAGTGGTGGTGGGGGCGGAGGAGGGAGGGGAAGAGAACGAGGAGGACGAGGAGACGGGGATGGCAGACAGATCAAACGCTCCGTCAACGTTTGGCGTCGGCGGGATCGTCGCGAGCTCGGGGACGCTCTTCTTCGGTGGCGGGGTCACCAGACCCGCCTGTGTAAATGTGCCATTCGTGAAAGAAGTCATATTGGTACTGGTATTGGTGTTGGTAGTGTTGGTATTAGGCGCAGGCTTCGACGCAGGCGGAGCGCCGGGGATCCATATATGCGAGGGCGTGGCGAGACGCGGGGGCGGGACACGCCGGTCCTGCGCGTGTGTCAGTCCTTCTATTATTGGCGTTGAATTTGTTGTCGTCGTGCTCAGCGAGGGAATATCGAAATGCACGTGTGTGTTATGAAGATGATGATGATGTGGGTGATGCGAAGTAGAGGCCACGACGGAGCTGTTGGGCTGTGGCTTGACAGGCAGGAGCGTGTGCGGAGGTGGAGGAGGCGTGGATACCCCATTCGTACTACTGGAGCAGGGGCCGGGGCTGGGAATCCTGGAGATGCTGCCATTTCCCAGTCCACTACTGATCCCCGGACCCGAAATCGGGCTGGGTGGCGTGGGCGTCGCGCTGCGGCTCTGGGGGCGGCTGGGGGCGCGGAAGACCTGTCCGCCAAAGGAGACGATGAGGATCTTGGTGCGCGCGGGGTCGTGAAGGTGAGGTGGGACGCCGATGGAGAAGAGGAGGCGCGAGCGGCCGCCGGGGGTGTATGGGGAAGGAGTAGAGGATTGTGGTGGTGAAGAGGAAGTGGAAGGAGAGGCGTTTGTGATGAAGGAGGAGGAGGAGGGCGGGCGGACGAGGAGGGGCGCGGCGATTACTTCCCGTGGTATAGGCGTGAAAGCAGGGAAACTTGAGAGCGTAAAGGGCGGTAACGGGGGGTGCAGCGATGCCTTGCACGGTGAACGTAGCAGAAACTCTATAACACGATCATGGAAGCGATTGGACGCGGCATTGACCCATTCTGGGGCGGGAAGCGCGGGGTATATGGAGAACGCGGGGATGGGTATACATCCAGGGAGGAGGAACAGGAGGTCGGCGCATCTGTAGCCGTGGTGGATTTGGGCTACCAGAGGGTCGATCTGCGAGGGTGAGACAGGGATGTCGGGGACAAGGGAGAGAGAGCCCAAGGGCGAGAGATGGTCGGCAGTGGGCGACTCGAGGTCGACTTGGAGCAGCGGCGTGGAGAGGTAGCTGTAGACAGAATCAAAGGTAAAGTTTGTTATGAGGATAGAGGGTATTCCAGTCGCTTTGGCTGCTAGACTGTGTATAAAGTCAGAAAGGATAGGAGTTGTTTGAACGCGACGTACCACCCCAAGAACGCGGCGTCACTCAGCACAGCGTGTGCTCTGATCTCCAGCAGCCACCTCTTCTCGACGTCCAAGATCTTCTCCTTTCTGCTGAGAAACGACGACAACACATCGACGCTCTTCTGGCGATCTACACGGTATCTTGAACGTGTCGACGTGTCAGCACAGCGTTGCACAGGTGGATTTGGATGAACTCACGCAAGGGGTTGTACAATGACAGGATCGATTTCTGCATAGCGATATCGCGCGCCCAATACAATGCTGTCTGCAAAAACATGCTGTGGCGCAGAAGAGGTGATGTAGACGGTCGGGCGGTCAGGCGGAGGGAGGTTTAGGAGATGGCTCGCAAATGCAGAGACGCGGGTTGCATGACCGTAACCTGCAAAGATGAGAAAGATCAGCTGGGAAATGCGATGGTGCCTTACCGTGGCCAGAGCAGTAGTAGGCGAATACGAGTGGGGGCATCTAATAAAAGGTTGAGGCCCGGGATCATGCAACCGGTTTATTCGGGTTACACTTCGCGACGTCATCGTCAGCGCAGTCCACATGATCCAAATTGGAATTTACTTCTCCTTCTTTCTCCTCCAAGGCGCTGTAGTGTAGCGGTTATCACTCGAGATTCTGACGTGCCGTAGATTCTCGTAACCCAGGTTCGATTCCTGGCAGTGCCTTCCAGAGTGAGTCATTGACTAAGCTTTTTGTACCTCGTATGTGCTACGAATTGATTGTGCATGCAGACTCTGATGTGAACCTTCGTACTTGTAAATAAATGCAATTATTATTGAAATGAGGAAAGAAGGAATGGGAGAGAAGCGCGCTACTCGGTAGTCCTGCAGTAGCGCCATTGAAAGATGTAGAGATGTACGGTACACCTCGAACGCCGCTGTCCTGGGCCAGGTAAGTACAGGTGAATGATTCTCAGGTTCGATTCCTGGTAGTGCCTATTTGCGTGGATCATGAAAACTTTTTATGACAACTTTGACATCACCATGTAGCCATATGTTCATCGATCACTGCAAACCTCTCGTCTTCACCTCATCTTGACGTCGACTGCATGGCGGACTCGGAGTGGACCCTCGACTCGTGGAAGGACAAACCCATCGCCCAGGTGCTCTCGTCTCTCATCGTCTCCAGTCCTCGCCTAACCTGCACTCGGACTATAGCCGGTATCATACCCTGACCCCGCGGCGCTCACCAAGGTGCTCACCAAGCTCGCCACACTCCCGCCTCTTGTTACACCGTCCGAGGTGCGTTCGATCTAACATCTACGAGTCTAGCTGATGAAATAGGATGGGAATCCAGATCGAGCGCCTCCGGTACCAGCTGGCGCTGGCGCACCGGAACGAGGCATTTGTGTTACATGCGGGAGACTGTGCGGAGGGTTTCGATGCATGTACCCATGTACGTACTTCTTTTTCGATCTTGTTGAATGCTTGTTCGCAATCCCATCTATCTTTTATCTCCTACCTTCCATGCTTCTCTCCTCCCTCCTCCCGCTTATCATGCACCATCTATCCAGGAAAACATCACAGCCAAAATCGGCCTCATTCTCTCCTTCTCGCTGATCCTCGTGTGGGGCGCGCGCCGGCCGGTCGTGCGCATCGGCCGCATCGCAGGACAGTACGCCAAGCCGCGGAGTAGCTCGTATGAGCGCGTGGGGGAAAGGGAGGTCCTGAGTTTCAGGGGGGATAATGTGAATGGGTGTGTGTACTCGTAGAATCGTAGATGCATATGGTACTGACCACCATCCCCGTTCACAGGCTGGACATTGACGCGCGCACGCCGGACCCGGAGCGGTTGTTGAGGTGCGTTGATTCCTCATTGCTTTCTCTTCTACACTATATACCAACGTCGTCACACAGCGCCTACTTCCACTCCACAGCAACGCTCAACTACGTGCGCGCCCTGCTCTCTTCGGGCTTCGCCACCCTCAACTACAACCACCCCCGCGATTGGAGCTTGGCCCATGTCAGGTCCCCGGCACTGCAGTGAGTCCTCGTGGTTTCTGCGTTTTCCTTCCTGCTTTCTTTTCTCGAGGTTTTTGGCTTTTGTATTTCTTGCGTCTTGCGTTTTCCTTTTCCAAGCTTTCCCATCGCGAGTCGTAGGCCGCGGTGGGTGTGCAGCCTTTCTGTCCATGCGGCTCCCCGAATCGAGTCTTCTTTCCGTGTACCCAGAATCTTGGGTTCCAGCGGACGTCATTACGCTCATCCTTCTACAAACAAACCTATAGGCCGCACTCGTGTTCGCTCCTTTTGCTCATGTCTCTCTCCTTGGACTTTCTCTCTTATCCCTTCCTTTTGGGTTACGCTACCCTCTCCCTTCTCTTCGCCCCCCTCTGTTGTCTTCGTTTTTCTCCCACCTTTTCCGCATTTCCGCGCAATATACTGACTACCCCCTTCCCACACCTGCAGGCGCGAATTCTCCGAAATAATCGACGCCCTCGGCGACGCGCTCGACTTCTCCGCAACCATCGGCGCCAACCCGTCCAATGCGCCGTACGAGCGCGGCGGTGCGCGTACGACCATTGGGGATGTTGATTTTTATACTAGGTGTGTAGTATGTTCATGTTCTTGGCTGTGCCCTTGCGTCCGCGTTCCTTGTTTTCTCCCTCTCCCGTCTCCTTTCTGCATTCTGCGTTCTACGTTCTTCTGCTCTATTTTGTATTTCAATCGCGCTGATACACATATACACGCGTACAGCCATGAAGGCCTAATGCTGGACTACGAACAGGCGCTGACACGCAAGCTGCCTATACCCGGCTCTTCCCCTTCGTCACCGTATACCTCACCACCGGCGTCGCGGCCTTCGACGTCCGCTGGTCGCAAGGTCCCTTCTTCCCCTCCTCCTCAAGCCCCTCAAGCCCCCAACAACGGCAAAGCCCCATCCGCTCAACCCCAAACCGACGCCGCTGTTGAAACCTCGGCGGACCCAAACAAAACACACGCCCCCTACAACACCTCCGCGCACTTCCTCTGGATCGGTGACCGCACGCGGCAGCTCACAGGCGCACACGTCGAGTACTTCCGCGGGATCCGGAACCCGATTGGTGTCAAGGTCGGGCCGAGTATGGAGGGTGGGGAGTTGGTTAGGTTGCTTGAGAGTGAGTTTCACCCATTTCTCTTTTTTCTTCCTTTCTCCTTTCTTCCCGTCTTCTCGGTCGCTGACCCTCGTCCTTCACAGTCCTCAACCCGGATCGTGAGCCCGGACGCGTCTCGTTGATCACGCGTTACGGTGCAGGGAAGGTGTGTTCTCACCTATGTCCTCCCATCTCCCCATATCTCCCTCGTTTCATTTCCAGCCTCGTTGCGTCCCCGACTCACCCGAAGTCTGCGTTTAGATCCAAAACCACCTCCCGGAGCACATCACGAGCGTGCAGGCCTCCGGGCACCCCGTCGTCTGGATCTGCGATCCCATGCACGGAAAGTACGTCCTACATTTTATCTTCGTGTTCCGGCCTGAATTCACTTCTACTCCCTTTCCTCCTCACCCTTTTCCCTTCTTCTGCTGCCATTTGTCTATCACACAGTACGCAAACCTCCGCCTCCGGGCTCAAAACGCGGCACTTCGGCACCATCATCTCAGAGATCGCCGAGTGCCTGCGCATACACGCCGCGCACGACTCGCACCTCGGCGGCGTGTCCCTCGAGTTCACGGGCGAACTCAATGACGAGGGATTCAGCGTCACTGAGTGCGTTGGCGGGAGTATGGAGCTTGGAGAGGAGGAGCTTGGGTTGAGGTACCAGGTGCGTGTTCTCGAATCTCGACTTGCGTTGTTCGTTGAGGTGAGAGTTGACGTCGGTTCACTTTATATAGTCGTTCTGCGATCCGCGATTGAACTTCGAGCAGTCGCTTGGTGCGTGTTTAATTTGTTTTCTGTACCTTGGATAGGGTATCTAATGCCAGACCATCTAGACGTCGCCTTCCTCATCTCGAACCACTTCAAAAAGGCGCGCCGTGGCGGTGGTACTGACAGCGATGTGCTGTATACTGAACTTGCAGGGCGGTTCGGGGTCGCCAAGTGAGGCTTTACAGGAAATCAGAAGGCGATTTTTTCTGCCCAGGTAGACGTGTATGTGTTTTGTTTGAAAATGAATCCAGTACTATAGTGATGCTCAAAAGAAACACCAAGGAAGCATGTCAAAGAATCTGATGAGTTAGTTGTACGGTGATGAATATTGAACAACGCCAGGAATAATTGGATGTCATCGGGTATGGTGTAACGGCTAACATTGCCGCCTCTCACCTTGTCATAGTACGCGGCAGCTCGGGGTTCGATTCCCCGTACCCGAAGTCGGCACCTCTGGTGTCATTTTTGCAACTTCAATCCAATTCTGACTATGATTGTACTGGATCGAGACCCGCTAGCCTACTTTCATGATTTCCGCGGATACATTGAAATTGAGAGAAATTCACCCACTCAGTACACGGAGCAGTAAGCAACGTAGCAGTTAGGCGCAGTGGGTGGTGGAGTATCGAACCGTTTGGCCAATGAAAGCGAGCTGAACTTTACAATTTACATGGTTCAACCCTCTAACGTGTACACAGTATTGTGGTGCTCGGGACATGCTGCGGCGAATCACGATCGATATCCTACATGATCCTCGTTGGGTGAGATCCAGGAGGCTGGGGACAACTATTTTGACGGTCGCTTTGCGAAGTTGAAGGAAAGTTCAAGAAAGATGGCGTGGAGTCTGGTTTGACAAAGTGTATTGCGGCGCATATAAACCTACGTCATCGCTCACAATGTCGCTCATTCTATCACTCAACGCTGGCTCGTCGTCGCTCAAAATCTCGCTGTACCGCCGCGCAGATCCCGTCGAGCTCATCCTGACATCGAGCATCACCAACATCTCCACCCCGTCAGCCAAGTTTTCGTTCGACGCCACCACTGAGCCCGCACCCGGAATCACAAACCACGCTGATGCCTTTGCCCACTTCCTCTCCCGCCTAGCCTCCCACTCACCTCCCTACCCGCCTGCAGAAATACGCTACATCTGCCATCGCGTTGTCCACGGTGGCGCATTCACCACCCGCACCCCAATCGACGCCTCCGCCTATGATCGCATCGCCGCTCTCTCAGACCTCGCGCCACTGCACAACGGTGCCGCATTGTCTGTCATCAAAGCATGCATCCACCGTCTCCCCACCGCCCATTCTGTCGCCTACTTTGACTCGGCATTCCATGCGTCCATTCCACGCCACATATCTACATATGCAATCGATCAGGACGTCGCAGCCCAGCGCGGTCTCAAAAAATACGGCTTCCATGGGCTAAGCTGTGAGCCTTCCATTCCTCCTCGCTTTCCTTCCCAGTAACCAACGTTATGTACCCTCAGTCTCATTCATCCTCCGCGCCACCTCCACTCACCTCTCCCTCCCCGCCTCCTCTCTCAACCTCATAGTCCTCCACCTCGGCTCCGGCGCCTCCGCCTGCGCCATCTCCTCCGGGAGCTCCCTTGACACCTCAATGGGTCTCACCCCTCTCTCAGGGCTCCCCGGCGCCACACGCTCTGGCACCGTCGACCCCTCCCTCATCTTCCACTACACCAACACCGCCGGGCGCATGACGCACGACCCTGCCAGCGCCGTTGCCCTGCGCGTCACACGTGCCGAAGAAATACTTAACCGTGGGGCGGGGTGGAATGCGCTGGCGGGGACGACGGATTTCGGG